ATGCGATTTTACCACACTCGCAAAATCGCACACAGCCGACCATATAACAAACTCTGTATTTTGAGTGGAAATGTTAGGGGGTCGTCTTATACGCCAAGTCGTCTTATACGCCGGCAAATACGGTATTACCTTAACTAAAACCAAAGGAGGTTAAGTGACTTCCTCAAATTAGAACAGTGTAACTTAATCCCTAAAATAAAGGTTCTGAAGACTGGCTGCTTCTGTTGAAAATTTCAGCTCCACTGGTGATTTAATTATTCTAAACCTTAGTTTTCTCACTCTTAAAGTAGGAACAATAATCCTTATAAATTGTTACGTGTGTCCAATGAGATAATGTACATAAAGTGTTAAGCGTAACTGACACATGGTTTAGAACTGAAAGTCACGAGTATAAGTCAGAAGAGGAGCTCAAGGTTTTTAATGAAAAGTCCCATGTTCTCTCTCTGTTTCACAGTGTTAACAAAAGAAATAAGTAAGTAATGAGGCAAAGTAAAAATAGGGAGGAGAATAAAATACTTAAATACACAATGGGAAGGGCCTCTGAAAAAAGGCAGGATACACTTTCCCTGAAATACGCAGAAAAAAAAGACTACAAATGAAAACCAAAGTCAGTGAGGATGGAAAAGAAGTTAAGGAAGATAAAAGAAAATAAGTGAACTGGCCAGTCATCAGCAGAGTGAAGATGATAACATTATAAATTCTCAGTAAAAAATCAAAGTCAACAAATCTATAGCCATCCTACCACTACCACTACCAGCTTTGCCCCTAGGAAAAAACAAAACAAAAAGAAAACAGAAAAAAGTTAAAAACTGGGAAAAAGAGAACTATAGCTCAAGAAAGAAGCAGTGTTAAGTGTAAAAGATCCAGAACTAGACACTTTTACGGGGCAAGTACCGTGTTTGTTTTGTTCTGTGCCTCATGCACTGCCAATGAGAGTTAGAGCTCAAAAAATATTTGCTGAATGAATGAATGGAATGTGACAGGGAGTCAACAAGAGATTAATTAAATGGTTACCAAGCAGCAGGGAGTGTCCAACAAAAGTAGGACAGCATATTTTGTAGTGGAATCAATCACCCAGTTGGGTTGGAATAAACATCTGGTTTATGCTGACCATAATCTCAACGCTGAGAGAAGTGAATTACCTCTAGATGATTTCTCATTGCCTTCTCTTCTTCCAAATCTTTTCGTAGTTTTTCCAGTTCTTTCCTTAAAAACAAAGCACTTATTACTGTTAAGTCTTTCAATTAAACAACATATTTGACTAATATTAACAGGATCTCTGTTGCCTGACATCCCAGAACACTGGGGGAACTTTTTAAAGAAAAGAGCTATTTTGATTGACAATAATTTCAAAACCTGTAGTTGGAATAGTTCAATCTGACAGTTAAAATCTCAACAAAACCATGACAAACCTACCTGAGATTTAAAAATAATAATAAAAAATAAAAATTTTTTAAAATTTAAAAATTAAAACAAATTTTTTTAAATGAATACAGAACAGCTCGTGATAAAATAAAGAAATAATAACTGGCCTTTAGAAAGAATTTCCATATTCAGTTATCATGTATTTTCCCAGAGCCTAAACTATTTAGTAGAATGAATGTCAAAACATGTCACAGTATAAGGCAAATCATAGTTTATTTAATAAAATAACCCGGACTTTACATTTCTTTGTCTATTTTTTAAATGCTACATTTAAAATCCAAAAACAAACCAATAAACAAAAAACTTCAATCATCAATCCCTCTTAACTCATGTTTTCATTTTTCTGTGTTCCCTTCTCTTAGACATACTCATTTTTCCCTCCATAGCTATTAAGTATAGAATTTTTACTGTATCATTTCACAAAGTATTTTAAAACATTTCCATGCTGCTATAATTTTCCAATTTCTGAAGACAGTTGTTTGGTATTCAAATATCCAGGTTTTTTGGTTTGGTTAGTTGGTTTTAGAAGAAAATTTAAAAAAAAAAAGGGGAGGAATAGGAACTTTATTAACATCATGAATACATCAGTATATTAAGTTTCTAAATAAAAATGTGTGGACATTTCTAGCCTCTCAATATATACTAGGAAAATTCTCTTCAAGAGTATTGTAGAAATAATAGCTTGAAAAACTCGTGAAAACTCATGAACAACATGAAAAAGAAAGGAAGTTTTAAATTCTATAGTTTCAAAACTAATTTCTTTTGTGGTTTTAATGATTAGAAAATTATTTCTCTATATTGGCAATAAATTTTCTGATTATAATTTTTAAAATAATATGTAACTCAAATTTTTCACCTAGAGCTTATTTTGATATGTGATATAAAATGTACTTCTAAGCTAATAACTTCCTATTTCCATAAGTTATCACTAAATTAAATAATGCTTCCTTTTTCCAATTATTCTATTATTCTGAGTTTATTATACATTTTATTTATATCTAAATTAGGATTTACTCCTAGACTATCCTGCTTTATTTATCTTTACTTATAACTGTTACATTATTTGTTTTTTGATCTGATAATTTTGTACCACTCTCACATTTGTATTGCTCATTTTAAAAACACATTTACAGATATAAAATTTTTATGTAACATTCATTCTGTTTTCGTTTTACAAGAACAGGATTAAACTGTACATCTTCTATAACTTTTCTACTAAAGAAACAGATTACTGATGTATTTCTGTCAATCCTTCCATGTCAACCTCCTTGGATTTTTTAATGACTTCTTCTATCCATTTTAGATTTTAATACTGAATGTATAAAGATGATTTATGCGTTTGTAAGCTATCAAGATATGATAATAAAGCAAAAACCTAAGAACTCCAAGTTAGCTTAGGAAATAAAATGCTATTACCAATACCTCTGATACCCAGTGGCCCTCCCTCTTCAATCCCATTTCACCCCCCTCATTCATAGGAAACATTTTATAGTATTTATTGTTCCTTTCTTCTTTCTAATTCTATCACATATACAAATATATCATGAAACAGTATGCTGTTTGGTTTTGTATGCTTTTCAACTTTATATAAATGAAATAATACTATATGCATGTCTGTGATTTACTTTTCCCACTGCCAACATTTTTGAGATTAATTCATGTTGACACATGTAACCATAATTCATTTATTTTTATTGCTGTATACTGTAGTATAGTATTTCTCTGCATCAGTATACACACATGCATGATGATGCTCTCCTGTGATACTCTTCTTCAGATTTAAAAAACTACCATCCATTTCATTTTCCCAGAGGAAGTCAAGACTTCTAAAATATTTGATGTATACTTTAAAATATATATAAATCATATTTTATTCATCCTACAGCTAATTTAAAAGCACCTATAGGCAATCTGTATATATAATTATTAGTTCACTGAAAATAGCACACTTGGTGTCAAAAATGTAAAATGTCAAAATCACCAAATCAGAAAACTTCTTGGGTACATGTGGTGCTTAGTTAATATGTACTGGATGAATGAGCTTAACAGTTTATAATGTGCATATTATACAATCTGTAAAAAAGTTTGTTGGGACTCAGAAGATATAAACTGAAGGATTCAACAAAAAGCCATCATGTACCAAATTACAAACACACTCTGTATATGATATACATATGCATAATATACAGAGGGTGACAAAAAAATGTACACACATTTTAAGAAAGAAAAATACTAATAAAATTGTCATACTCAATATATACCAATAACAAAAGATGAATACAAGTCACGTTTGACTTCTGTAATTACAAGAGGTACTCAAAGTGGTTACCATCAGCGGCCAGACACTTCTGATTAGAGCCAACTACTGCTTGAGCTACTGACCAAAGTGTCCACTTGTATACTTTTTTTTTTGGCACCTTTGGCATATATTTTTAAGTAGTCGTTCAAGATAATTCTTTTGTTTCTATACAACGGACGTTTATAAAAGTGCTTTGCAAACTACAAGTACACCATATTATTAATCTTGATAGTATTTTTAATAAAGAATCCAAGGCCTACTGAGTATTGGGGGAGATATGGTACATACATGTTACAAACTCAGAGGTAACATGGTTTCTTGTAGTGACTTTTATACCAGATTCCATTATTCCAAGAAATATTTTTAGAGGCTACAGGAGAAGGTGAGAAAGGGGACGAGCACCTGAACTTTCACCCTCAGTTCAGTTAGATTATCTGATCTTTGAGCTGTTTACCCACTGGGCTTTTGCAGAATTACCTTTAAAATATTAACAAGTTTTTAAATTCAAATAATAATGGTTATAAAAAAGATCTCTGACTCAATTGAAGATATGGGTTTTGAGTTCTAGCTCTGCATTTAAGAGCTGTGTGATCTTAAATAGCTTTACCTCTCTGAACCCTTTTACTACTTCATTTAAAGGAAGGGAGGCGGGCTATAGTAGGTGATCTTTTAAATTTATTTTAGCTGTAAAACATTCGTAACTTTCACTTAAGGTATGTCTTACCGTATACCATTATCAAAAACTTTCAAAATTAAGAGAAGAGCCTTAGAGATCATCTACCCCAACCCATTTGTTTTTTAAATATCCACTCAACCCTAGCAGAAATAGCAATTAAAGTCCTCTGAGAATTAAATTAGATATACAGATACACCATAGATCCAAAATACAACATGGTTTTCCTAATATTTTAAGGCTAATTAACCCCAGTGTTTGCCAGATTTCTAACCTTAAATTATAGGTACACATATACCTTTTCTAGATCTGGCCTATTAAACAAGTTTTCTAATTGAAATTTTTGGCCAAGAGAAGAGAAGCACTATTAATGAAAATTTCTTTGAAAACATACTTGTTCAATTTAGAATAATTCTTTACATGTGTTAAGTAGTACTCAAAGAAGAAAACAAGGGCTACTTACCCATGATCCTTTTTCAGTGCTTCCACAAGGCACAGCAACTCAATCATCTCAGCTCTAAGCTCATCCAATGAATTTTTCTTCCCATCATCTGCTTCTACTTTAGCTTTCATTTCTAATGGAATTAAAAAACCAGCCGTATTTGGTTTAGAAGCACTTGAAGGTGTTGAAAGGTACACAGATGGCTGAAAAATATAAACAGAAAAAATTCTGATTCTATTTGTATTCATACTTATTATATTTAAGTTCAAAAGATTTTATAGCAAGGAAATAATTAAAGTAATACTTCAAGATAAATGGTAAATTTAGAAATACTAAAAGCAATGTGATGTTCACACCTGAAAAAAACCACCAAATAAATCTGCAATCACTAGGAGTTTTGTGAGGAATGTCAAAGGTTTTATTTTTACAAAAAAGAAAGAAAAATAGAAAAGAAAAATACATTAGATTTATCTTATGAATGGTTTGCCTAGTGGAACTATAGACTATAGACTATACAGTCTCCCCCGCCACCTCCACCTTATCTGTAGTTTCACTTTCTGAGGATTTAGTTACCCTCGGTAAACTGTGGTCCAAAATATGGAATGAAAACCCCGGAAATGAACAATTCATGTTTTAAACTGCATGCCTTTCTGAGTCCCATAATGAAATCTCGAGCCGTCCCACTTTGGCCCAGAATGTGAATCATCCCTTTATCCAGTGTATCCACATTACATGTTTACTCTACCTGCCGATTCGTCACTCAGTAGCCATCTAGTTATCAGATCAACTGTCACAGTTATCACAGTACTTGTGTTCAAAAACACTTATTTTACTTAGTAATGGCCCCAAAGCACAAAAGAAGTGATGCTGGCAATTCAGATAGGCCAAAGAGAAGCCATAAATTTTTTCTCCTAAGTAAAAAGGCATGTATGTATAGAAAAAACTCATAGCATATACAGGGTTCAGTACAATCCATGGTTTCAAGCATCCACTGGGGATCTTGGAACGTATCCCCTACCAATAAGGAAGGAAATACTGTATCAGCATTAAGGTATTGTTTTGATCCTCCACATTAAGTAGTTACTATTTAGAATATCCAAATAACTTCACTTAAAAGTAATTATGGGGGCCGGCCAAGTGGCTCAGTTGGTTAAGAGTTGGCTTGGGACGCCAGCTCTGAGCAGCAGGGCCCCGGTTCGGATCCCACAGTAGGGCCAGTGACGCTGCGCCCTCTACAGCTAAGACTGTGAACAACAGCTCGACCTGGCGCTGGGCTGCCATGAGTGGCCAGCGATGGCACAGGCTGCAGCCCCTGCTGCAGTGGGCTGCCGTGAGCTACCGTGAGTGGCTAGCAGCCAACGTGAGCGGCCAGCAGCCGGCGAAGCTGCCATGAGCCACCAAACAATAGCCAGCAACCGACTGCCTCAGCCGGGAAGAGAGCAACGATCATAATACCAACATGGGCCAGTGAAGCAGCATCCTCCACAACTAGACTGAAGAACAAAAGGACAGTAACTTGTCTGTTCCCCTTCCCCAATTTCCCAATGCTGTTCCCTCCCCCAAATCCTCAATAAAATCTTTTTTAAAAAAAGTCATTATGAAAAATTTAGGAAGTGCATGGAAGAGGCATTAAAATGAATACATGATCAGACACCCTTTTATTATTTCACTAAAATAACAAGTAAATTTTCAACAGAATGCTAACAGCTGAGAGAATCAGATTAAGTGTATCTGATAAACTGGAATAGCAGCCAAATGCCCTGGAATGAATTTGAGGAGGAACATGACATTCTTAAATATGAGTACCAGTTGTGGTAATACTACCTTAATAAAAATGACAACAGTTTAGAAGAGTCTAAAACACCATATAACAGATGGAAGAATCCATGTATTCTGTCATTCATTCCAGTTTATAGTTAGCGCTTATTATGGTGCCAAGCATCAAGCTAGGTAAGAAGTAAACAAATGATGGCTTCTGACCTAATGAGTGTATGTTTAATGGGAAAATGAAACCGAGCTATGTCTTAAAAAATATGAAATATGTAACATTTATATTATTCATTTAAAATAATATAAGCTCTTCTAAAAAAACGATCTACAGAGAATAGTGTGACTTACCTTTAATAACTCAATTTTTTAGCAGGGATTATTTTATTTCTTGGCAGAAAAAATCATTCTAAAAGGACACTTTAAATTCCACAGTTTTGATGTTCACAAAGAATCTTACAAAATATACAAATCTTAGACCACAATGCACACCTCACCTTTGGAGAGTAGCATGAATCCTTTTTAAATTCAGATGGCTTTATGTTGGCACTATCTTCTTCTTTTGGTGACTTCAAGATTTTTTCTGGGCTGTGAGTTGGCTAAATGATTTTTTTTTTAATCAAGAACAGAAAACACCAAAGAAAAAAAGTTAGTATTTGGATAATAACTTTTGTCACTGTTTTCAGCAGCTACTGTTCCAGATATTCCATTATTACTAACAGGATGGTATGTAATTTCATGCTAAATAGTACACTTGCACATCTTGGGGGAAAACCAGCTTGATTCTTCACAATAAAAATTTTCTCTACTTAGGTAATTTACAAGCACCACAGTGCTTAAGAGCTAATATATTAACACTAATGTACTACCAATATCATGGGCAAGTGTATAGAAGGCGTAAAAAGAAGTTACATATTAAATACCAGGATTAGTACTACAAAAAACACTATTTCAAGATGAAAAATGTTCTTCTTCTTCCTCACATGAGTATGTACCACTCAATTCTAATTATTGTTGTTGGACGGGTGGATTACACAAGTACCCTGTCCCCTTTTGACCCTGTGCTCTGTAGTTACAGTCTGAGGATAACACTTTCTGATTCTGTAACCTTCCATTCCAAAATGCTGAATGAGCATGACTCTTTAATACAACCATTTACCACTTGAGTGTAACACTAGCTTCCTGATTTTTAAACTAGTGGAACTATAAATCCTCACTTATTCTTATCTTCAGAAGGACTCGGGATTTGCTGAATTCCCTGTTTAACAACAATAAGTATAACTCACAGAATGTCCACCATTGAAGCGGCCAGGCAGCCGTCTTCCAGGCATCTTCGGTCGGTTTGCAGTGAGATGTAGCAAGTTTTCTGAGGAAGCTATGTCATCAAAATTTACAGGATCTGGAGAATAAAATTAAACATATCTATTAAGAAATCACTTTACATTTTAAAAGGTAAAAAAACAATGTTTCTGGATTTTTAACAAACTATAAATTAAAGAGTACCACTGGGACTCACAAATTGACCTGTGCTTTTCATATGCATTTGGAAAACAACACTCACCCTTAAAAACAAACATCCTCTTTACCTGATACATTTTATAACATAAGACTTTATTAACATTATAGAGTTCATGTTTAATAGTCTTAGACCTCAGTAAAAAGTTCTTGAAAGATATAAATCTGTACCATTAGCTGTAGTAGCATAAAAAAGCTGTCACCTTAAGTTCTTGCTTATAAAAAAACATTATTTACTTCTTCAACTCATAATTATAATATATCAGGAAATTAACACATAAAATTTGTTTTAAACTTCAGGTAGTATCCTAATACTCAAATTTTAAGGAGCCATCTATATCTGGGACCCTGCTGCTTTTCCACTGTATTGCTCAATGTAAGGTGAAAGTATAGTTTAATGTGTCTTTATATATGTATATATGTATGTACATAGTGTGTTGTGCTGGGACTCAAACTATTTATAGTTCACTGCACTTCTGCTTAGACATTACCTTATTTAGGAATCATAAGGCAGTTATAAATCTAAGGCAAATTGGCTATCAAGGGAAAATGCTATATAGATCATCCACTTGTTTCCCCACCATCAAGGGGAGACCTTTAATCCAATAATGGGTTTAAAGACAAATCTAGGTAATTCATATCTCTAAAATAATAGTATATAATACCTTCCCTTTTTCTAGATGATCCAGAGGACCTTGCAAAAGAAGCTGGTCTTTCGTTTTGAAGCCCATATAGTTATAAACAATACAAGAACCCTAAGTGTAATTCTAGATACTTCCACTATCAATATTATCTTCCTTCAGCCCAGATTCCAAACTAGGCATATAAATCACAGTCAAGATATTCAATATGGCAGCAGTTATCTTTGGCCTAGTCTTCCAGGTATGAACTCATTCTTCATATTACCATTGCCTGGATGTTTATAATGCTTTTTGTCAAATATTTAGATGCCCCACCTCCCTGACTTGTTATTTCTTAAAAGAATCTAAAGATTCTTATCATTGCTGCCCTCAAAGCTTATTATCAATTTTCATATTTAAAGTAATTCACTGAGATAATTTTTTTAAAGGGATGGAGGACACAAAGGGCAAGGCAGAGGAAGAGGTATCACTGTTTGGCAATATGCATTTTATAACAACTTTAATATTTGTTGACCTCTTAATTCTCCATCTTCACATTCTGGGATTACTTTGTGTGTTCTATCTTAGATCTGGTCACTAAGTTAATAAGTACATCACAACAGGCAATCTAATGTATTCAGTTTGATTACTGTCTTGAGTCATTCAATAATTGTCTTTAATTATAAAATATGACAAACCTTAAGAAACATTGGTTTTAATAAAAAATGCATTATACTATGGGTTTAAAGAAAAACATACCAAATATTCTTCTTAAGTATCTCACTATAAAAACGCAACTCAGCACAACACTTAAAATCTCATACATATATAAACAAAAATTCAGTGTCTTATATGATACTCTCTATAATGGCATTATCAAGGAAATTAAATATCTCACTTTATTTGTAAATTTCATAAACAAAGAAAACAATATTTTAGAAGATGTTAAAAATATACTGTAGTTTGAAGGGTTAAAAATTGCTTTTCACACTGATAAATGTGCATTGACAATCTACAAAAAAAAAAAAAATCCAAAAAGCTTGAAAAGTACAACCTAATCATTTTGGCCTGTGGAGATTATTTTCAAATGCATATTTAAGCAACTTGCAGAAAGAAAAAGAAATAAACAGAAAAACACAGAAGGAATGAAGATAAATAAAATTGAAAGGGTAAATAAAAGGTAGATTTACAAAATTATATATCATGCTCATGTAAAAAGGCCTTTCATATGTCCAATTTTGGGCTACAACACCAAGACAAATAATTTTACTATTCTAAAACTCTCTCAGGTCCTCCATTTAAGCCATTAGGTTAGTAAAATAAAAGAGTGCACATTTTCAACTCATGATATATTTGAACACTTTTAAATTTACCTAAGAGTGGTAACAATGGATTTATACTGTATATGTGGCATAAACAGCATGACAATCATTTAACTCTTGCAATCACACTGCCACACTGCCAGCCATTTTACATTTCCAAATATTGCTTAAGAAGACATGGAATTTTTAAAAATCAAAATGGAATATCAAATTTTGGGAGAAAATAAACTGACTTTTATGGCTGTCAAATAAAAAACTTTTCTCAAAAGAGTATCTTTAAATCAGGAAAATATTTTCAACATAAATTTTATTTTATTTTAAAATGGAAAACCAAAGGGTTAGAATAGACAGACAAACACGTACACTTTTAGTAAAATTACAAAGAAAAATCAATGTGCACCACCTATTTATACTGAATATACTATTTTGATTTCTTTTATAAATTGTTCATCTTACCAAAATGGAGAAAGGTAGGATAATTTCCTGACACGTAAGAAGGGAAACATGGCAAACAGGCTAGGAAACAAAATCTGGAAAGAAAAGTCAAGGATAGAAATGTCTAGAAAAAAGACTAAACCAAAAAAATTATTTTACAAAGCAGGAAAAAGAAACAGTTGTAGAGTGAATAGAACCATTTCAATGTTTAGCATATACCTATTGCAGATTATCTAAATTTGCATAAGATGTGTATTAAATTTTAGATTTATTCTTTTGTCTTTCAAAAGAAAAAACTATGAGTATTAATTTCAATATACATTAAAATAGAAAGAAGCCACTTTTATTACTCACTAAACACCAAGACAGCTTCCAAAAAGATGTTTTAGTACCAAAGTTAGAGTAATAAATCAATATATTAACTCATTAATATAGTTATAACTAAAATTAAACCACCTTTTAGTCAAGTTTTAGTCTTCAGCGTATGACAGCAATTACAACAAAAGAGGTAATTTTAATTCTATGGTTTAATAAAAGAAAAATACGAATATATCAAATATTCTTTCTAAATATTTCACTATAAAAATGCAAACCCAGTACAACACTTAAAATCACATACATATAGAAATGAAAATTCAATAATGTCTTATATGATACTCTCTAGAATGACATTATCAACAAAATAACTACTAGAAAATAAAAATTTTAATCACTGCTCTTACTTCCCAGTAAATTCTACATTTTCGGGTGTGGTGTTTTGTTTTGGTAACCTAGTTTAGATACAGGCTCACTTTTAATCATGTCTACCACTCAATAGGCAGGCAATCTTATTAGAAAAATCCTACCATACGTTCTTTCTGAAAGAAATAAATGAATAAATATTGGGAAAATAATTCAAATGAAAATAAACTATCAAACAGAACTGAAGAAAAAGAATGTGTTCCTATTTAACAACAACACCTTTTGAATCAAATAATGTATCTCTAAAATTTCCTTTTAACCCAAGAATTTACCACACAAAAAAAAAACAATCAAAAAGGATAAAATCCTTCATCATCTGTGCTTTCTCAATGTAATAGCTATGTTAACACTAAATTTTCTATCTTGTATTTTAAAACTAATTGTAAACCAATTTTACTTCCTGGAAAATTAACTTTTTTAGATAAATTTAGACCGTGTAAACTTTATAATTAACCAGTAGTACCAATGAGATTATTCTAACGAATTTGTGATGAAGTGTTTGGAAAAAAAAAATTAAAACATGCTTCTAAGAGTTCTGTAATTTGTAGTACTATCTTATATCATATAGGAGGATATACGTGGAGGAACTTTTCAAATGAAAAAAGAAAAACAAACTGTTCTAGGAATGTTTCCTTGTATGTACAAAAGTCAGATCTGTATTTATATACATACATATATTTATATATGGCTTTCAATACAGGAAAATCATATCTGAGAGTAGAATCAGGAATTTACATCCTTTATAGCTAGGAACAGAAACAGAATGAGATGGGATTGACAATGGAGGAGGGGAGCAGAAGGAAAATAACATTTTATAAAAACTTCCATGTCAGGTATTCTAATAGATATTTAATTTGTATCATAGATACACTGGGTCATTCAATTGTTAGTTAAGCAAGAAAATAGATTAAGAGAAGAAACATGCCAATGATCAAGCAACTAATAATTTACAACCCACATTGTTTAACGCAAGGTCAGTGTACTTTCTACTATCTCATTTCACCTCAAATTATTATTTTACATAATAAAACTCTAAGGAGATTTTCATATTTTAAACTTTCTGAAACTTATGTTAAAGGGCTAGTTTCACATGCTGCTTAAACATGTAAAACCTCAAAATGAGCCAAAAATATAAATTAAAATATGCCTCAGTCTAATGTCAAATTTGAGGAGTTTCTGTCAACATCCCAAAGACAAGGTAAAACACATTTATGCTACAAGTACTAAGAATATATGATATTTTAATAAAAAAAGGAAATAAGGAATAGCCTGTGAGTTGTGGTTTGAGACATAAGCTATTTGCTCTCAGCAGCTATGCCTTTGTTAGCACACTACGTATTGCCTAAAACAGTGCTGTGGATCAAACGCTTGCTCAATAATTATTTGTTACTTAATATGAACTAAATTTCCAAAATTTGTATTTTCTGAACTTTAAGGACATAAGTGAACTACACCAAAGGCAGCCTGAGAGCAGAAGGAATAAAGAACAGCAGCTTGAAAGTTATCTGTTATTTTGACCATATATAAGTCTCAGCATTTCTAATTATTCATTTGATGGAAAAAAAAAAAAGTAGAAAATTTCAAACCCTGTTCCACAAAGCCTCTTTGTTTTTTTAATGAAGAGGAAATAATAGCTATTGATATAAGAATTGGGACCAAAAACAAAGAAAAAACAGAACTTTTCAACCACCAATGGTTTGACACTGTTACATGCAATTTGTAATCGAAATGTAGCAAAGGAAACAAAACTCAATGGTGATCATATATAGAAAAAGTTTTGAAAAAAGTGAAAATCTGTTTTAATTTAAACTTTTTTGTAATTTCCATGACCTTGAGACAACTAAATAAAGCAAATATTCAAGAATGACAAAAAGTAACAAAAATGCAGAAAAAATATAGGCTCTAAACATTACTCCTTTAGCTCTCAGAGAGACATCAAAATTTGAGACTTCTGATCAAGATTGCAGAAAATTGTAGAGATTAAAGATAATACCAATGAATTTTTAAAACTGCACTTTTCCCCTCCAACTATTACTTTGAAAACATTTCTAGCTATATTTTAAATCAAACAGAAAACAATAAGAATTGATAGAATTCTATTTTTAACACTACCCTCAATAGAAATTAAAGGGTATTTTTTAAAAACATAAAGAGGATTTTTTTTTGTTTTTATTTAACTAACAGTAAATAAGAACAGTTTTAATCAGATAGAACATACTGAATGTATTTGTGTGAATGCCTCTAAAATACAATCAACATCTCAATTTACAGAAATTACTGATGAGCACAGCTTCATCCAGAGCAGGCAGGACCCAAAAACATGATGAAAAGATCTATAAAACATTCAAATTAAAAAACTGAGGGAGTTCATGGTTAGAGATTTTGTACTGGCAAACTGAAAAGACGACAAAAAAATAAAATCACCTAAAATTGTGTGGGAGGTAGTAAGTAGTACATTTTCCAACATAGTGCGGAAAAAAATCTAAGTGTTACTGACCTTGAAGTTTAAATGTATGAAATGTTAACAATGAAGCTAAAAATACATACTTAAGTCATTAAAACTTTTTAAAGAATATCATAGAACACTTTATATAAACAAGATTTAAAGTGTTTTCTTCTGATTCATGTGATCTTGGACATTTGAGTACCTACAGCTTAATTTGTTCAAATGCAAATAGAGAAAAACAGCATCTGCCTCTTAGAGTCACTGTAAAGATAAAATAAGAACATATATGACATTGTGAGGGTGAAAAGGGTAACTATTGCATTGTTCTGTACACCTGAAACTAACAATAAATTAAAAAAAAAAAAAGAACATATATGACAAAGTGCTTTGAAAATGTAAAAAAACTAAAAACAAATTCAAAGTACTATACAATAATCATTACCACAAAGTAATGAGTGTACCGCTTTTAACAGTGAAACTTTTATCAAGACTTCTCTGTTTCAAGTTTTCTATTTTATAACTAAGAGGTAAAAAAGACCAGGGGACAAATGAATATGGTTAATGGGCTGAAAAATCAGTCCTAAAACTTAAGGAACAACACTTAGTTAAAGAAATAAAGCCTGCTGAGATATCTGAGAGTCACAAAAAACCTTAAAAAGTCTAATTTCCTGAATTGGAAAGAAAAATATATTGAAATTAAGTGGGGAATAAAAATAGTTTTCTTAAATATAACCTTTATTTTAAAACTTTTAAAACTAAAATGTATTCATGTCTGCCTGACTTAGGTGGTATGGTCATTTCAATATGAAGTAACAGAAAAATAAATAGGTTATCTCTTAATGTCCATCTCAGTCCGCTGACCAGTGACAAAGATTGTATGAATCATAAATATTTTGCCCATTTATCTTCTTTCAGTTTTATTTTTCCATTTCAGCTGTTACACAAATTTTAAACAAATTTTGATTTCCATTGTATCTACCCATAAACAAACTGTATATACACATTTCTTATTTTAAATAGTTTCTGAAAACTGTACTGGTAACTTTTTTTAGTGTTTCACCTTTCTACATGTTAACTTACCTGTTTCTTTAAAACTCCTAATTGTAAATGAATCTAGGTCTACTGATTTTGGTCTAAGTGGTATCTGTTCAGAATCTAGCTTTGGTTTTGATACTGTCTCAGTTTCAAATTTTGATGAAATGGTAGACACCTCCCCATTAATCCTGAAATGACAAAATCAAACATAGGCAAAAATCACTTGTATGTGAAACATGATCTTTTTTTAACATTGTGCTTTAATGACACTAAAGATGTTATTGCATTAATGCTGATTTTTCTTTGTTCTACAAAATAATTTTCATAAACATTAACCTTTACCCTAAGACTAATCACAATAAAATCAAATATAAAAACAGCTTAATATGATTATATTCACATAGTGTGACTATAAGATTAACATATAATAGAGAATTATTAAAGTCTATGGGAAACAAATACTTTAAAAATTACTTTAATATTTAGAAAGGCAGTAGAGCCATTGATGTCAAAGGCAGGTAAATTAATAAACTAACTTAAAATTAGATAAAACTTACCTGGCTACAGGAGGTGGTGGAGGAACTGGCTTTTCAGGTCGCTTTGGGTACACTGTTCCAGGAGATCTCAATAAATTATTGGCTTTGGTGGGTGGAGTAGGCTTCTTGGGTGGGACTTGTGGAGCAGCTGGTTTAGAAGGTTTCTGTTCCAGCACTGATTTTTCATCTGATTATTTAAAAATATTTAATAAGTTATTAACTATCAGAACTATTTAGGTTTTTCTATTACTTAAAGCTGATGTCAGGCCGGAAAAATGTGAAACAGAAGAGAGACATTATTTGTGTATGTGTGCAGTTTTACCTGTTTTAAAGTTATAATAATTCAATAAGCCTAAATATCTTAAAAAGTTTACTTTGGTGGGGAGAGGGACCACTAATAAGATTCTGATAAAGAGAGAATGCTTGAATCCTACTGTCTTCCCAAGAACCTTTGCATTTAGGGGTTGTATTCTACTCAAATATAACTCCTTATGACTCTACTCTAAGCAAAGAACAATATTATCTAGACTTAAATCCAGACCACATTCTGAAAATGAAGTCGAAACTGAGTAGGAGTTTTAGTGTCACTTAACATAATTATTTACAAAATGTCACGATGACAAAGAAAAAAATTCAAATGTTGGAAACTCAGGCTGGACTGATTAAAGATGAGAAAATTATAGGCTTGTATTTATAATTCTCACCTTTGTATTAGGAATTTTATTAACATTTGATTTAATAATTCTATGAAATAGATAAGAAAATATGCTGGAAAAAACAACATTGAAAACAATTTTATACCATTTTAATAAAAAAAATTTTAACACCACTAAGGTATGGTATACTACGCATATATATGAAGACCTTACTTGGTTCCTGATCTTTGAGGTACTAAGAACAAGTATTCAAACTGACACGTGTACACGTATTAGATATTTATGATACAGCAGTAAACAAACATGTTGTAAGGCACAGATGTAAAAATAAGGAACTCCTCAGTGCAATACTGAGTAATTTTCAAAATTTACTTGGTCTTTCAAAACAATGTCTATCACAAGATCACAAATAATTTCATGAGATTTCACACCAATCAGAAATCTGGTAATTATGAATCTTGAACAAACAACAGGCTGTGGGTAAACAACTCATTCAAAATCAGATTTCATCTAACAATGAAAATACAAAATACCATAGTTTCAGTTTTATCATTTATGTATAGCTCCTCGGATCATTTGAAATATAGCTTAGTCTATTAAAACCCTGGTCATATAAACTTAAATTTCTGCAAAATATTAAAAACGATGTTTTATATAAAATATCAGGAAAATGTCCAAGGATAACTTAAATAGGAATTCATTGATTAACTGAATATACTCCTTTTAAAAGATATGTAACAGCTTGAAATGAATTTCGTAGCTTATTCTAAAACAAAAGAACACATATTTGTGGAAATCCAAAGTAATCAAAATAAAATTCATCATTCCTGGCATAACCATGATTAAATCAATTATAGTATGTTGACTTATTAAATAACTAATATAGGGTGACAATGTATTTAAATACTAGATTTTATTTATTTGTATTGACATAAAACTTACATAACATAAAACCATTTTGAAGTGAACATGTCAGTGCTATTTAATACACTCACAATATTTTGCAACCACCACTTCTACCTAGCTCTAAAACCCTTCATTCCCCCAAAAGAAAACTTTTACTCAGTTACTCCCCGTTCCCTCTCTACCCATCACCTGGCAACCACTAACCTGCTTTCTATCTCTACAGATTTACGTATTCTGGATATTTCATATACATGGAAAATCAGGATTATTTCATATACATATACAGTATTTGATCTTTTTTGTCTGGCTTATTTCAGGTAGCATAATGTTTTTGAGGTTCAACTTCATTGTAGTATACACTATTTTATTCCTTTTTTGTGACTGAATAATATCCATGAACACAGCCCAATTCATTCACCTGTTGAAGGACATCTGGGTTATTTTGACTTTTGGCTACTGCGAACTATGCTGCTATGAACATTTCTGTACAACTATTTGTTTGAATACCTGTTTTTAATTATTTTGGGTATGTATCTAAGAGGAATGGCTAAATCATATGGTGAGTCTATGTTTAACTTTTTGAGGAACTACCAAACTGTTTGTCACAGCAGCTCAACATTTTATATTCCCATCAGCAATATATGAGGGGTCCAATTTCTCCACATCCTTGTAAACACTTGTTATTTACCATTTTTATTTTAGCCATCCTACTGACTGTGAAGTGGTAGCTCATTGTGGTTTGATTTGCATTTCCTTAATGACTAATGATGTTGAACATCATGTCTTGTGCTTATTAGGCATTTATATATCTCCTTTAGAAAAATGTCTATTTCAGTCCTTTGCCCATTTTGATTCTGTTGTCTTTGCTGGTGAGTTGTAATAGTTCTTTATATATTCCAGATATAGGATAAAAGATTTGCAATTATTTTCTCCAATTCTGTAGTTTGTCTTTTTACTTTCTTGATAATGTCCTCTGATGCACAAAAGTTTTTAATTTTAATGAAGTCCAATTTAAATATTTTTTCTTTTGTTATCTGACTTTTGGTGTCATATCTAAGAGTCCATTGCCAAACCCAAGGTCATGAAGATTTACCCCTATATTTTATTCTAAGACTTCTAGTTTTATACCTCTTATACTTAAGTAAATACTCAATTTTCAGTCAAATTTTGTATATATAGTATGAGACAGAGGTTCATTGTTTTGGATGTGGATATGCAATTTCACATAGAATTTTAGTTCAGCTAAAAAAATTCACCAAAAATGAGAAAATTTAGATTTAAGAAAAAAAAATCTTATTGCTAGCTATATGAATGCCCAAAGGAAGAGATATGTGATACAGATATTATGATAATTTAAGATAGAGAAAGAAGCAGGAATTATCCTAAGTGTATAAAAAAAAATGTATACTAAAATTACATGGTAGCTAAAAAATATAGCAAAATAATTGAAATGCCCTACCTTATTTACTACAGAATATAGCATGTATTACTAACACTGTACATAGTTAATCTATTTATTAATTCAGATGAGGTTTAGTTCCCTGCTGCACGAATAAGAATAAAAAAATATAACAAATGATTACAAGTGCATAAATTCTGGCTCAAAAATCAAATATTCCATTTGTCATCAGTGGTCATTTAGAGATGCATTAGAGAAAAATGCAGTACTATCCAAAAAATAGCAAGCAGATCCTTAACTGAATCAATTTTCCAAACATTTTAGGACAAAAGAAACCTACCCATATTTATCTCACTGAAGTGACCTGAACTGTAGTATAACATATTTTCAGAAGCCCAAGTACAAAGCTCAAGAAGTTATCTCATGAACATAACTGAGTGACCACCACTCAGACCAAGAACTGAAAATCGGCCACACTGAAGTTCCCTTCATTCCTCTTCCCACTGCCCCACTGCTCCTATCCCCAGGTGTCTTCTACCACCATAGATCACTTTTGCATATTTTAACTTTACATCAATGAAATCAATAATTCATGTTGCTATGTGAAGCTCTAGTTCATTCACTTGTTGCTATATAGTATACTCGTATGAATATACTTTATTGATGCATTCAACTGCTAATGGATATTTGTGTTGTAACCAATTGGGGGCCAATATAAATAATGCTATGAAAAACTTCCTTATTTGAGTCTTTTGGTGTACAATTGAGCACACATTTCTGCTGGGTATATAATTAGGAGCAAATATGCTGGATGACAAGATATGGATATATTGAACTTTAGTTCTCCGTATTAGATATAACAGTATACATTCCCACCAACAGTGTATAGGGGGAGTTCTGCTGATCTGTAGCCTTACCATTTAGTATTATTAGTCTTTTTTTTTTTTAATTTTACCCATTTTGGTGAGAATCTTACTTTGGTTTAAAATTATATTTCCTAATTGAGCAATGAAATTGAATAACTTTCATACATTGATAAAACGCCAATATTCTTAACTACATTTTTGGACTTTTTGTTAATTTGTGAAATCCATTTTTTTTTTGGGGGGGGGGGTTTGGGGGAGGGCAAAAGACAAGTTGCTGTCCTTTTGTTCTTCAGTCTAGTTATGGAGGACGTTGCTTCACTGGCCCATGTTGGTATTATCATTGCGCTCTTTCTGGGTGAGACAGTCGCTCGCTGGCCACTGGACGGCCGCTCAATGGCGGCTCACGAAGGCTAACGCCAGCTGTCGGCCAGCCCCACTGCAGCCTACGCAGTTGCCGGGACTCACAGCAGCCCAGCTCCAGGTCAAGCTGTTGTTCACCATCTTAGCTGTAGAGGGCGCAGCGTCACTGGCCCTCATGTGGGATCCGAACCAGCAACTCTGCTGCCCTGAGCTGGTGTCCCAAGCCAGCTCTTAAAGAACACGCCACTCGGCCGGCCCTGGAATTCTTTATATATTATAAATGAGTAATAATTTGTCATTCATCTGTGTTGTAAATATCATTTCCTACTCTGTGGTGTAACTTTTCATCCTCCTAATGGAATGTAACAGATATTCCTACTCTTAACGTAGTCTAATCAGTCTTTTGCCTTATGTGTCTTGTTACAGTTCCTACTCCAAGGACATAGAAATACTTGCTTATATTATCTTTTAAAAAATTTAGAGCCTCAATCCACATGGAAACTGACTTTTATGCATTTTAGAAAGTAGGGTTCAAGTTTTCATTTAGTATCATTTATTGAAAAGAATGTCCTTTCCCATTACTCTACAGAGCAACTGTGGTCATAAGGCAAGCACTTATCAATCTATTTCTGGATTCAAATGTGTGTACAATGTGAGACAGAGGTTAAGATTTATATATTTCTTATATGAATATCAATCAACATTATTTACTTCATCTTTTCTATACTACAATGGCAACTTTGTCATAAATCGCATAGCCTTAATTAAATGTCTCTCTTAAATAATGCTTCTTGTTGTATTATAGTCTACTTTGCCAGCTATTAATATAGTTACACCAGCAGGAGACTTGGTCCTCATTTGTCATTGCCAGAAGAATCTTTTGCTTCAACTTCAACTTACATCTACTGCCTTGGCTTTTATGATACCACCCTCTGATCATTCTCAGCCTGTCTTTATGACTACTCCCTATCAGTCTTCAAGAATTCCAGTTCATCTGATA